TCTTGGCGGCATTTTTACTCGCGCAGGAGCAGAAATGATAAGAAAGTGGATTGCGGCAAGGCCGCCCGCAGATCGCCGATAAATCCACGCGGACAAAGGATATTATGCATTTCGCGATTTTATGCATCGATCCTGGCTGTGCATTTATTTGCACTTTTCTACGGCGGCTAATTGGGCGTTAAACGCCGGTCGTGACGTGCACTCGGAATCTGCCACAAGTCGGGGCGCGAGTGTTTGTTTTAATCGTAGCGATAAGGTCCTTCGAGCGGAATCAGCGAAGCGATGACTTACGACTTACGAGCCAACGCACGATGAATTTATTGTTCTACGAATGTGTAAACCGAATTGCAAAAATGATCTATTAACTAGAAGGAATTCGGTAATATTCGGTAGGTCGTAGCATTGGTGTTGGGCATTGCTGTTAGTCGTTCACCATAAGCAACGATTATTCGTAATTGGTCATGGATATTAGCCATTGGGAGTCTATCATTTATTTATATATCGGTACCCTGTCGTTTTTTAGCAACGAACGACTACCAATTACGTCCACTCATCCATTCGTTTACCGATCGTTGGCAGCGATACTGAAACATCAATATGACTTTAGCACACGCGCTTTTCGGAAACGTCAAGCGTGTCCCGTCATTCGGAATAAAAAAAAAAAGGTGTCGATAAGAGTTTGAACGGGACGAAGAAATTGAATCGATGACAAGAGTGACACTCGCGTCAAATATTCGAGTGAGTCGATCTTAATAATTGAAGTGCAATACAAATATTGCTAAATAAGCCGTTTATGACATTTGCCAAGATTTTCCAAAGAAATGGCTATTTACCTCATTAGCGATTTAATTGGAAAGATAGTCGATTGTTTATGGATTATTTGTCAATGTTTTATGGCATTTCATAGTGATAAGCGCGAACTCTATAAACGAACGGATTATTAGAATTTCCCATGAGAATCGCATAATAATAAAAAATGGCTGTGCTTATTCCACAGGATAATTAGATTATTCAAGACTACCGAGCTACTCGAGCTCAACTTACTTGCATTTATTAATGACGCATAAAAGGAAAATTCCAATATCCTCAACATAATTATTTAACAAAGCGTACGAAATAATAAATTTGGCATGAGGCTCGAGATAAAAGGTGCGGCAGAAAATATACAAAAGTATTTAACCCACATAATAAAAACCGAAAAATTTTGCCGGTACACCAGGAATGCAATAACTCCGCAATAATAAACGTAATTTATCTCAAATCACTCTTTAAACTCCCTTCAAACTCTATCTTGTCTTGCAATCGCACGGGAACTAATAACGACCGCTTGGAAACAGTAACGATCTCTTCGCTCTCCATCATTGCCGATGCTGAACCATTGCTGCTAGTACACGAAGATGTATACCTGGAAAATTCCAAAGTAAGAAGCTAAGAAGCTCACAGAGCATATAATACATAAGCTAATCGCAATAAAAGTGGGCATGTTACTACTCTATTCACACACATCCTTACGCAGATAACAACTACAAATACACGCACACGAACGCGGGCGCACACGCGCACGCGCACAACTCGATCATTTATTATATATTGGTGTATGTATAGAACTGGTCCAAGATCGAGAAGGAATTTCTGCAGGAGGAATTAAAATTTTTTATGGATTAAGAATTTTTTAGAAGATGACTTTTCAATTAAAATTATGTATGCGGCTTTGTACGCTAAACTGAAATTCATACATTATATTTGAAAGAAATCGTTGCGAATATTTTTTTTCTTTTTCTTTTTTCATCAATTCTCTGTTTATAGTTAATAATAACTTAGATGAATAAGCATATAATATAGAAATAATTAAATTCAAGCATATTATACAATTGTTCATATCTTTTAGGAGAAATTTAATATTTGTTGTTGTTGTTGTTGTTTGTTGTTGTTGTTGTTTGTTGTTGTTTGTTATTGTGATTGTCATTGTTATTTTTATTTTATCCTTTCTTATCCTAACTGATGTATAACACCAAAGGCAATAATTATCTATATATTAATAAAGCGCCCTATTGACTTTATTCTTTGTTTGAAGAATGTTATAATTTATAATGAGGATAATTCCTAGCGTAGCTGCATTAATACAAAGACCATAAATACTGGAAAATAATGAATTAGAGTATCGAGAAAGAGAAAAAAATAAATACTATTTCATCGTGATTAAACAGCGCTCGTCCCATCGATAAGCCAACGAAAAACCTTACTCCCTGCCCTTCATTATCGCTGGAACAAATAGTAAAACGTTTGGATAAGATCCTGGATCCCAGGGACGACGAACACCACCTTAGCCTAAGGAAACATTCCTTAAGAAAGGCATTAATAAATTCAGCCCTGAGCAGACAATTTCGCATTTACCTTGTGACGTCAATCAAAATCAATATATAAAAGATGGCGCGGGGCGGGAGGGTGGGAGAAGTGGAACGGAAAGAATGTTAAGGTACATCGGTTACCGTCGCTGTAGCTCTCCTCCCTTCCACGTCCTTCGGATCGTATCGCCTCGAAAATTCACTGCGACGAGGTGTTACGGCGCTTTATGAGATAATGAGCGCGCGAGTTACGCAAAGCCGCCTTAGCAATGTAACGCGGAGGAGGAAAAGTTGAGCGATCGGGCGGGATGAGCAGGGGGAACACGGGGAACAATTCGGAAACGAAGTGAAATCCCGCGCGACTCGCTCATCGCCGGCGACCGCTCGCGATTAAAAATGGGCCCTCGATTTGGTCCCCAACGGCCCACGCGCGGGATCTGCAATCGCCTCTATCCGAGCACCTACACAAGAGCGGCGGCCTTTCGAGAAGAGAAATTTTTTGACAGTCACTATGACATAAGCGATGGCTGATTATGAGGCCCCGCACCACCTCCCCACCGTCCCATCGCCAACCCGACTTCTGTCGGCGCTACCAAAGTAAGAATTCATCCTCGCTCTCTAGGCATTCCTAGGGCGGCAATAGCGAGCCATCGCGAGGAGCTCGAAGACAATTAACGTCAACGGCGATCCTCACCAGTACCCGACCGACCGTTTCGCTTCATCGGTTTCGGGCCATTTAACGGCTATGTTGTTCGTGCTGCGTTGCAGTCAGTCATGCGATTCGTCTGTTCGATATCTGTTGGGCATATAATCGCGACACCCGGTACTTTATCGTACTGGCTGAATATTTGACGATCACCCGGTTGACCCTGTATCGAGTTTACAAGCTACGGTCGAATTTCCTTTTGCCTTACGTAACTCCCAACTTAAAACTTAAAACTCCTCTTTATCTCATTTAACGGTAAAGAATTATATAATATAAAGTTATTGCTTAGGTGGCAAGATCGCTTCTAGAGATCGCTCGACGATACTTTTTAAACGAGAGTGCCTCGACAATGTTTGCAGTGTACTTGTTGAGCTAACTTTCGCAGCCGATACGTCCCACAGCTTTCCAATTCAACTCCAATTGCTTACTTCGCATTGGAGTCGAATCGTGAGCAGTACAATAAGATATTCACAAAACATCCGCGTTTTTCGCATTCGATGTATGTGGTGCGTGAAAGTAACTGGACTCCAATGGATAATCTGCATCTAGGATTTTCCGATCGAACCGCGCGATTCCCTACGCGATTTGATGGAGGAGATAAGCCGAGTGACCGAGCCACGGTGCTTAAGAACCCATGGCAATTAAAAGCCAGGATCGCCCGTTGCGCTTAATAGGAATTTCAATCGAATCAAACAGGCATCGCGCCTGTTTCGTAAAAGCTCCTGAGCTCAATCCACTCGCCAACATTTTTCATCAGTCTCCTCCGTCTCCATTATATTATCTCTATTATATTATCCTCGCGGGCATAATACGACGCGGCAGCCGACTTGGACTTTTTTTTCGCCGGGCGCACTTTACTCGGGCCAACAGCGACACTCGCTAAAGAGAAACCACGAGAACAATGCACGCGCGATCGTGATTCTTAATTGACTCACCCGGGATCGAGCGCTTTTCATTTACACGAGGCCGCTTCGCGATAACGATGCGAATCCCGGCTTTTCCGGGATGACTACCGCCGCTTCTCCCGTTTGCCGTGGGGAGGGGATTCAACGGCCCCACCGGCTTAAGAAATTCGTTCCCCTCACCCCCTCACCAATCGTCAAATACCAATCCCCAATACCGATCCCCTCCCCGAGCCTCGCCAACTCCATTATAAGCGGTAGCACGATCATCACGAATTCTCACCAGGCCCCTCGTGCCTTTGCGATTAACCTAAGATTCGGTCTTTCGATAAGGCCCGGTTGCGCTCGTCCACGTGCGTCAGTCTCGTCAATCCTATCCATCATTAGGCTCAAATTCCCCGGTGTAATGGGCACTTTTGTACGGGACTCGATACGATTAATGACGGCGTCAAAGCTCTATCAACTATTCCCGCTATAATCGGCTATAATTCGGTTATAACAACACCGTCGTCGCAATGTCCCCAATGCGTGTCATTTTCCCTCGATATTTCCTAGATTATTGAACGATTAACGTAACCGCTACATCTCGATCATCGTTATTGTCCGTGGAGGTTTCGAGGAGATTGACAGCCGCGTGAATTGTAATTTGCACGAGCCTCGGGCGAACAGAAAGTTGCCAAAATAGAGACAAAATATCGTAGCCAGGAGAGATAAATCATCGAAGGCATGATTTATCGCTGTTTAGTTAATGTCGTCCGATGGAGCAGTGTACAACGGGAACAGGATATATCTTCGTGCACGCACTAAGGAGATTGAATTGGTCGGGAAGCGCTCGCTATTTTCTCCTCCTCCTCCTCCTCCTCCTCCT